ACTAAAAAAAATACAAAATAAATTTGAAATACTTTAAGAGTTAAGTTCTTAGATCACATGTTTAGATTTGTCTAAGTTTATCCTGTTAAAGTGATTAAAATAACATACTTGTAAATGCAGTATAAAATGCCAACGGAAATCTGATTACATGGTATTACATATTTTAAGATTAAATTTTCAATTATTAATTAAGCATTAATCAAATAATACCAAATATACTTCATCCCATAAACATTACTAGATTTATAAATAAGACTTGTAATTGAAGGTTTAAGAAAACTACTTACAACTCTAATAAGCCAAATGCTGACTTCAATATAAACATTTAAACAACATCTGTGTGAGGCTATTCCTCACACAAAAAGCCTACTCAAACAAAACTTAATGACAATGAGCTCCCTAATGATACACTACAATATAAGGATCTTCTGATTTCTTTTTCCCCTGGTTAACAAAGAGCCTGGCCTACAAAAATGTTATCACGTTATTTAATTACTATTTTTTTTTTTTTTGAAACCAGAGTCTCACTCTGTCACCCTGGGTAGAGTACAGTGACGTCATCATAGCTCACTGCAATGTCAAACTCCTGGGATCAAGCAATCCTTCTGCCTCAGGCTCCCGGCTAATTTTTCTTTTTTTTGTAGAGACAAGTCTAAAGTCTCGCTCTTGCTCAGGCTGGTCTCAAACTCCTGAGCTCAAGCGATCCTTCTGCCTCAGCCTCCCAGAGTGCTAGGATTACAGGTGGGAGCCATGGCGCCCAGCCTAATTACTGTCTCTTAATCTCTTCCCCCTTTTAAACAAGCTCCTCCATTATAAACCTAGTCCTGCCCAATTCTATAGTTCTATTTCCGTCTTCCTCTTTCTTCCCAATCTATATACATGAAGATTACTATTAAATTCTACGGATTCAAAGGCCCACTATTGCGGGGTTAGGTATTAAGAGATAAGTAGTCTCAATTCTTCTAAGAAAAAGAAAATACTTTTGGCCCCAAATACAGATTGGAATAAGAGCACGATCACAAGTCTAAGATAAATTGTAGCTTTGTAAATGCCAATATTACAATCACCTGAAAAGCTTTTTAAAAATACTGATGTCAGTCCCACCACAAAGATTCTGATTTAACTCGTTTGGGGCATGCTTCAGATATCCAGATTTTATGAGGTTCCCCAGATGATTCTAATCTAAGGATGAGCATCACTGAGAAAGAAGAATAAACTAACATGAGAAAACAGACAAATCCAGAATGTGGAAAATTCTACAGGACAAATGACACAGTCTTCAGTAAATCAATGGTACAGAAACAAAACAACTATTCAAGATAAAAAGAGATTTAAGATATAATCTATGCAATGCATGGACCTTATCTGAAGACCACTCAAACTAAACGTAAATTCAAGGAACAAAAACCAAACATGAATAGGGATTTTGTTACACTAGAACTTGGTAGAAACAACAGTCATTTTTTAGAGCTGTACACTGAATAATTTAGTGATGAAATGCAATGTGTAGAATTTGCATTAAAATATTCCACTACATCAACCAGTAAAATAAACGACTATCTGGAATTTCTTAAAAACAATGGGGGAAGGGGGATTGATAATTACTGAGGAAGGAGGCTGGAAAATGGGTATCCAGTGGGTAGATCATTACGTCATTATTCTATTTGAAGATTTCCACTGATAGTTTTTTTTACAAAAAGAAAAAAATTATACACCTCAAATACAAATCAAAGTATATTTAGCAAATTCGTAACAAATTTAAAATTCAAATTTGTTGATAGTATATAGGGATTCATTATATTACACTCACTTGTGTACATCTGGAATACTTATTAAAATATTAAAGAAAAAAGATGACTTTGGAGGTCTAGAAGCTACACGTATACCCTTAACAAAAGAATAATTCTCCTCTACATAGGCTTACTGTCAACTGTTGAGTGCTGGGCTAGAAACAACAGGAAGGTAAAGTAGGAAGAAGATACCCACCAGACAGAACAAATCAAAGAGAAATGATATATCACAGCCAAATCAAAGTCACATGTCAAAGAAGTGATTTCAAACAGAATATTTTTAAGTAGAGATTTAAGCAATTCTCCTAACAAAAGCCAAAAAACAGGCCAGGGCGGTGGCTCACATCTGTAATCCTAGAACTTTGGGATGCCTTAGAACTTTGGGAGGCTGAGATGGGAGGATCCTGTGAGGCCAGGAGTCTGAGGTTTCAGTGAGCTATGATCATGAAACTACATTCTAGCTCGAGCAACAGAGACCCTGTCTCCAAAACAAAAAAACACAACAATGTCAAAATACCAAACTCAAGAAAACAAACTCCGCCTTCATCAAAATTTTTAGAATTCATTGTTCTGAAAATATTTACTTTTTTCTTAGAGACAGGGTCTCCCTGTCACCCAGGCTAAAGTGCAGCAGTGCGATCATAGCTCACCACAGGCTAGAACTCCTGGGCTTAAACCTTAAGCAATCCTCCTGCCTTGCCTTCCAAGTAGATGTGAGTACAGGCACACACCACTACACCTGGCTAATTTTTCTATTTTTTCAGTGATGGGATCTCCCTATGTTGCCCAGGCTGGCCTCCAACTCCTGGCCTCAAGCAATACTTCCAACTCAGCCTCCCAAAATCCTGGGATTACAGGCGTGACCCACCACGCCTGGCCTGAAAATATTCACTCTGAAGTGTTTACTTCCAATTCTTAAATAGGGAAAATCAGCTTTATTCCTTCAAGCTTTATTCTTCAAGATTCTTTGTTATTTTCACTAGGCTTTAAGTGTTAACACTTAACTGTTGATATAGATGACAAATCCCTTGGTTTACAATTTTTTTGTTTAATTCAAGAATGGTACGGCCAGACGCAGTGGCTCACGCCTATAATCCTAGCACTCTGGGAGGCAGAGGCGGGAAGATCCTTTGAGCTCAGGAGTTAGAGACCAGCCTGAGCAAGACCCCGTCTCTACTAAAAATAGAAAGAAATTAATCGCGCAACTAAAAATATAGAGAAAAAATTAACCAGGCATGGTGGTGCACGCCTGCAGTCCCAGCTACTCAGGAGGCTGAGGCAGAAGGATCGCTTGAGCCCAGGAGTTTGAGGTTGCTGTGAGCTAGGCTAATGCCACCGCACTCTAGCCCGAGCAACAGTCTTAAAGAAAAACGAAAAAAAAAAAAAAAGAATGGTAATAACAAATCTTAGAACCTCGGCAAGAGATCATTCAGAAAGTTTTTTCTTTTCCAGTTTTTCTCATACAAGATGCTGAACATGGCATGATAAACACATTGGTGAAAATATTTACTTGAAAAATGTTTTATTACAGTAAAGACAAACGAATCCCTACAACTTACATAATTGTGGATAAAACCGAATTATATATTGTGAGAGCAACTAAACAGGTTCACCAAGTAAAAGTGAAATCCACGTTAACAGGGCTGAAAAAAACAGACCTGCTTAAAGCCTGTATTAAGTTATGTACACCAAGATAAAATTCATCAAAATAAATCAACTTTCTAAGGCTTCCGACAAATTTTGTACGGTACATATCAGCAAAAGCATTCGAATGGCATAATCACAAAGCACCAAGATTTTCATTACGTAGCTGAGCAAAAAGGAAAAAAATAAAAGCTGCACGCAGGAACATTTCTCCACCTTCAGAGACCAATGGCTCTATTCCTAGGGAACAAGTGGCGAAAGAACGGGGCGGGGCAAAAGAAGCGACCAATCAGAGCTCAGGTTACAAGTCTGGCTGTGGGGAAAGAGGCGGCGAGACCGCCCCGCGGAATGGCCGGCCGGCGCTCGGCACACACCCCATAGGCGGCCGCACCTGGAGATCCACCCCCGCCGCGGGACCTCCGCGCGCTGCGCCCCCACCCCGCCCCGCGCCGCCCCGCGCAGGCTGTTTCCTGCCAAAACAAACCCTGTCGCCTCAAGAACAAAACAAACCCTCCCGAGGGGGAGACCGCTGTCCCCGCGCCGCCCCCGGGCGCGGCTCACGCCCTCCGGCCGCCGGACAGGCGTCCCCGCGCGGGGCCGGGGGCGGGCGCACGGGGACGGGGGCAGGAAACGTGTCCAATGCTCACCAATTCCTCGTAGCTCCTGTTGTGCTCGTTACCCTCCCAGTCCAACCTCTTCGGCAACAGCTGGAAAGACACGAAAGGCACACGAGTGACCACCGCTGCGGCGCGGGGGTGGGGGCCGCGGACGAGCATCCCTCGGGACAAGGTCGGGGGGGACGCGAGGGCGCGCGGGGACAGACCTGGTACTGCTCCAGCTCCTGCACCAGCACCTGCAGCCGAGAGACGCGCGGTCAGCGGAGGGTCGGGCTCGGGGCGCGCCCGCTGCGTCCCCGCCCTCCACCCCAGACCCCGGGCGGGAGGAATGCGAGGCCGCCGCGGCCGCCCCGGGCCCGCACTCACCTGGGCCGCTCTCCGACACGGGCCCGCCGATAGGTACCGGGCGATGAGGAAGTACAGCTCTGCGGGAAGACGGGGAGAGTCGGGTCAAAACCGGGTGCAGAGGGAACGGGCCGGGGCGCCGGCGACCCCGGGGCCGCCGAGGCGGGGATGGCGCGGCCGCGCGTCTTACCCGACTCGATGAGGGGGACCGGGCGTCGGGCGGACGAGGACTCCGCCATGGCCGGGCGCGGGGCGGGAGCGGGGAGCAGGCGAGCGAAGCGTGTAGGCCGCGCCGAGGCCTGACCGGGCCAGCGTCCCCTCTCCTCAGGCGCGCGCCGCCGCCGCCATGCCGTGCGCGCCGCCAGTCCCCGACACCACCGCGGGAAGTAGTCCTTCCGCGGCAGAGGGAAAATAGTCCCTCCGCGGAGGGGCGTGGGGACAGGACGCCCAGCGCAACGCGAGGACCGACGGTCGCACCCCGCTCGGGAAAGCGAGCGTCTCCCCCGCTCTCCTCTGTCTCCGGGCGCGTAATGTGGCGGCTGGGCAAAGGCCTGGGCGTGGGGCTGCGGCGGCGAGTGGAGGAGGGGAGCGCGCGTGGCCCGGGATTCTTGCGCGCGGTGAGGCGGCCCCGGCCTTTGTGAGGCGGCGGCGGAGGCGGGGTGGTCAGCCGGCCGCGACGCGTAACCGCAGGGGCCACGGGACGCGAGGCGAACCCGGGCGACGAGGTCGCCCGCTCCAGGCCGCTGGGAAGGGACACTTCACGGACGGTCATCTGGGGTCAGCGTGTTTGCTGCCCACGAAATATCACTCGCTTCGAGAACGCGAAAACCTCAACGCTGAGGATCTGCTCGCCGGCCGGCTCGCAGAGGGGAACGTCCCCGGATCGGCTCTCCCAGCCCGTGAGGAGCCCGTCCGAGCCGGGGGTCCTCCGGTACGGACCCTCTGTGGCTTGGAGCTGGTAGCAAACATTACTGTGACTCTGCGTCGCTGAAGAAAAGTGAATAAATGAGACGGAGCCGCAGTCCTCAGAATCCAACGGTCTCGTAGAGGGAAGGAGTTAGATAAAATACAGCTGTCCGGGAGGGCAGCCCGGAGCTGGCGATGCCCAGCGGGCTTCGTCGAGGGATGGTTAGGAAAAGGGGCAATGCGGGCAGACAGCAGGTCCTTCCAAGGAAGAGAAGCAGGTAACTTAAACCACGTATAATTAGGATTCTCGTGGAAGGCAGTAAGATTTAAAGTTAGAGGGGCGGACACGCGCAAAAAGTCCCCTTAATTGCCTGGCTAGGCTTGTGACCTAACTCGGTTCATTCCTTTGGCACATCCACTGTGTCCTGTTCTGAGCCCTGAAGTACAGCACTGAGCAAAGACCCTGCCCTCATGGGGTGCACGTTGACAGCCTAATTCCTAATCATAGTAGTAGTCTCCCCAATATATAGAGGTTAAACGTAGTTCATGTAAAGACTCTGGGGCAAGACTCACTGCCTGGACTTTGTCCTGCCTCCACTAGCTGTTAGATCTGTGACCTTGAGAAAGTCATTTAACCTCTGGGTCTCAATATTCGTCATCTATAAACTGTAATAGTGTTTGTGCCCATAGCCTGGGCAGCGTCGTGAGACCCCATCTCTACAAAAAATTTGAAAATTAGCCTGGCGTGGCGGTGCGTGCTTGTAGTCCCAACCACTCGGGAGGCAGAGGCAGGAGGATCCCGTTAGCCCCGAAGTTCAAGGCTGCTGTGAACTAGGATGAAGCCACTGTACTCTAGCCCTTTTTGAAAAGGAGATCCTGCCCCAAAAAAAAAAAAAAAAAATTGTGCCTACATAATAGGGTTGCAAGGATTTAATGAGTTAGTATTTGTTCCTAGCATATATAGTAAGCACCATATACGAGCTGGCTCTTATTATACCAAATAGCAAAAGCTCACTGGGCTACTGCATCAGCAAGTCTGTTTTTACATTTAATTAAACAAACACTATCAAGTGATGATGATAAAAAGATGGAATAAGCCACAGCTTTGCCATCAAAGGCTTAAGTGTTTTCTAGGGGAAACATAAGCAAATAATGACAAGATTTAGGGGAGAGAAAAATGGAACATCAGCTTGCCTATGGAAGGGGGAAATGTTAGAGTAACTTTGGATTAACCCAGACTACGGTGTGTGGAAAGGGATTTCAAGCACATGAACAACGAAGGGCCAAGACATGAATATAATTTCAAGTTTAAGAAACTCAAATTTAGTATGACTACTTGGAGTGACTTTGAGGAGAATGGTACCATTAAGTCCAAAGTTGAAATTGGGAGCATTTGAAGGATCTTTAGCCAGAAAGGATCCATTTTTGCATCAGGATGGATTTCAGAAGGTTAAGACCAGGAGGCAGGAAAGCCACTTAGTAGACCCCTGAAACAGAAAAGAAATGAAGATGGCTTAGGGCAATGGTTATAAGGATGAAGAGGAGGAGACAGGTTCAGAAACATGTGGGTCTCCCTATCTTGTGTTGAAAAAAGAAGAAGAAGAAATATGTGGGACATTAATCAGGAAGATGAAGTTGGGGTGAAATAAGGAACAGTCACAAAAATCTCAAGTTTGGGCCTTAGTATGTTAAGGTTGTGCCAGCGACTGAGACAGAGCATACAGGCTGTAGCTAAATTGTCAAGATGGATAATTGCTTAAAACTGCATTGTTTGGCCGGGCGCGGTGGCTCACGCCTGTAATCCTAGCTCTCTGGGAGGCCGAGGCAGGCGGATTGTTTGAGCTCAGGAGTTCGAAACCAGCCTGA